TTTATCAAAAAATCACTGATGGGTGAGCTGGAAGGAACCTTTACAGATCATCTAGACCAAAGCCCCTGCTCAAGCAGGGTTACCTAGCAGGTTGCCCAGGAAGCCATCCAGACAGCTTCCAAATGTCTTCAATCATAAAGACTCCACAACCTTCTAGGGAACCTGCATGTACACTCTGTCACTTTCACAGTAAAAAAAAAAAAAAAAAAAAAAAACTTTTCCTCATGTTTAGACAGCACTTCTACATTTCAGTTTGTGCCTGATGCCTCTCGTCCAAGCACTAGGCACCACTGAAAAGAGTCTGGCCCTTAGTCTTTACATGTTCCCTTCAGACATTAATGAACACAGAAAAAATCACTTCTCTGTATTCTCTTCTCCAAGACTAACAGGCCCAGCTCTCTCGCACTTTTATGTGAGAGATGCTTTAGCCCCTTAATCAGTTCAGGATGAAACAACCTTCACTGAACTTGCTCCAGCTGCTCTGTATCTGTCTCAAACTCGGGGGCCCAGAACAGGATACAGCACTCCAGATATGGCCTCAACAGGGCTGAGCCTCGACCTGCTGGCAGTGCTTCTCCTAATGCACCCCAGGCTACCACTGGCCTTCTTGGCCACAACAGTACATTGCTGGCTTATGGTCACCTTGTTTTCCACCAGAAGTCCTTCTTGCTGAGAGTGCACTCTGTCCCTTCATCCAGGTGACTGATGAGTAAGTTGAACAGGATTGGATCCACTATTGGCCCCTAGGATACTCTTTTAGTTAGTGGACTCCTGCACCACTGGTCACAACCCTCTGAGTTCTGCTGTTCAACCAGGTATCAATCCACCTCAATGTCCACTCATCTAAGACATGCCTGCTAGCACACACACATATATGTATATACAGATATATATATGTATATACACATACCTTATAGGTTTATGGAATTGCACTCTGAAAGAAAAATATTAGATTTTTTTTAATACATTGAATATAGAGTGTTCTACCTCAGGTTTTCCAGTGCAAAAATAAATATGGTAATAAGCACACTGGGTCAAATTATCATCTCTCCTCAAAGTACGGCTCTCTGGACACAGAGCATTGGTTCATTAGGAGGTAAAAATGACTAACATTAGGAGGTAAAAATGAACAGAAGAATAAGCCAAAGCAGCAGAACAGACTGGGAGAAAAGAGCCACAAACTGCAAGAAATCCTGAATAGCAACAGGGAAAAACATAATAAGGTGAAGGAAAAAATAGGCTGGAAAAGAGAAAAATCAGTATTGTCACTGATTTCATGGGGAGATATAGCATCTATTGGAAGATACATTGACCAGAGAATCTCACTCATAGCTGGCACCTGAAAATGATAGAATATACTGGCTAAAATACTGTGACATCAGAATAATTTGATTTCTTTCCATGTAAAGGCATTCAGCTAAGATTAAAGTTGAAAAATCACCTTAGCAATTTGGTCAGTAAATATTCCAAATATGAGAATATTAAATAAATAAATATCTATTAGTAAGAATCCACAAAATCACGTCAAGCCATTAGAAAATGGCTTTGACTATAGATTCCAAGTGTCCTTCCTATTACTCTCTCAGCTGAGCTAGAAGATTTTGCTATTTATATTATGTCTGGCTATTTCTTGATAATATCTCATATCTCAAAGTTTACTCTATAATGGACAAAACTGTAATTTTTTTTTGAATAAATGCAAACTGTCCTAGTACTAGAACCCATCCGATTTCAATCCTTGATACCAGTCCAACAATCAATCACCAGGGGCATCGGACACCCATAATTAGATTATAAAATCATAACTATAGTCATTTTACGTCTGCTTGCATAATTACATCAGCATGCTAATATCCTTTTAATGGTCTCTAATGATGTAATAAGAAATAATGGAATTTATTTGACAGCTACATAACCATTAACAAAACATATTAAGCATAACTAGTACTTCCATAAAGATTCAGGCTGTATCCAAAAGTGACAGCTAGCATGTTGGGTATTTTCTGCAATGTTGAAATATTCCTAATTATGTATTCCCTAGATATATTCCCTCTCATCTGCTTCCTGGGGTGAGCAAAGTTTATGTCAGTGCAAACTTGACAACAAACCAAGTGCAGAAGTGGACTTCACCCTCTGGGAGCCAAGCCTGAGGCTATGCTGTGAATTGCAGGCCATCGGTTAAAGTTGGCAGGATTGTGAAAAAGAGACAGAGGATGAGATAAACTGATTACTACCAGGCAACAACTCATCAAGAACTAACAGGGGAATTGGTAGTAACCCATACCAAAGCAACTTATTAACCGAGACAAACTCCAAAGCACAGAGAGAAAAAAAATAAAAATGCAAAGAACAAAAGGTATTTGTATACAAAACTAATCAAAGCTAGTAAAAAAGTATTTGTGGAACACTATTTTAAAATTACTTTTTGTGGCAAAAAGGACAAGTATTATTTTATAATTCTGATACCTCCTTCGAAAGAACTCACTACTCATCTTTTCTCCTCAGTTCTTCTCACTCTGTTCTTATTGAATGCGATGACTCTTTCTATATTTTGAAATTAACCCTGTGTTTTCATTAGGAAGCATTCACTCTGAAATCCTTGCAGAGGTCTGGGAAGTTTCAGGCCTACGCTATCACTCTCTTACCATTCAGAATGCTTGGAGAGAAAAAGAGAGAGCATTGGGACTTCTAAGTCATCCTAATACTTAAGTCAAAGTACAAATGTCATGCTACAATCCCTTTCAAAATCCTCGATTTCAGGTTTCCTGATTTTTTTTCCCGTATGATTTATCCATTCCTGTAAAAACACTAAGAGTATTCTTAATGAAAAGGGTACTTTTAGTTGCCAGTTAATAAATAAATAAATAAATCCTTAATGACTGTGAGACCTCATTCTATTGATTGGAAATGTCAAAGGTGGATTAGGAATAATCATGAAGTCATATATTCTCTGAAACGTCTTGAGGGACTATTCAGCAGGTAACTAGAGCCTTCAAACTCATTCATACTCTATATTCATACTCCAGTGATGACTATGTGGTGGTGGCAGCAGACCAATGCCGAAAAGCATTAATTCTTTGCTTGGTGAGGCTTTTTTCTAAGGCTTCTACCCTTCTAAGGCTTTATCTATTAGCTAGATGTACATTATTATAGTGTTTTCTGGGCTTAACCTCAGGCAAAGCATCTTATTTTCTTAAATCAAAATGTTTATTGGACATGAATTCTTCACTAATGTGAGATTTGGGATATTCTTTCATTTCATTCTCACAGACTTACAAATTTTATTTTGAAAAGACTAAATGTTGCTGTTTTCATAGACACAGAAGACCCTATTCTGAGTTACTATCATTTCTAACACACTATATTAAAATATTGACTAAAATACAGTAGAAATACTTTTGATGCAGTGATATGGCTCTTTATTAATGCCTCCCTAATGCATATTAAAAAAAAAAAAAAAAGAAAAAAAAAAGAAAAATGGTTATTCATAGCTGGCTATATCACTGGAGGAATACCTTTCATTAGAAAGTGAATCTACAGCCCACCAATTGCAATGCTGTTGTGATTTATCACATGATAAAACACAACGCAAAGGCTTTTTTTTTTTGCTAACAGTTAGAAAGGTAGGTGAAAGTGCTCTTATACTGTAAATGAATGAAGTTAATGAAGCAGAACTCATTGATTTCAGCAGAGAACTTATTTCATGGGATCCCTTTAAATGTGTAGCCGACTTTGATTTATCTGCCAGTATTCAAACTCCAAACTGGAAATTCTCCTTACAAGGAAAACCACACATATTGTCTTTTCTTTTCAATTTCCGAACTGATTTTTCATACAATAAATACTTTTCATAAAATAAAAATAAGAAGAGCTATTTAGTAATACAGAGAAGAGTTGTCACAAACAAAATATGAGTGTGTTCTCCTTCAAAATGACTAAATTCAATATGCCTAGCACCTCTCAGATTCCTGAAAAGATTTTCTCATCAGCAGTCTATTTCTCACTGCGCATGCTATATGCAAGTGGTGTAATTTTTTTTCCGAATAAGAATGAACACTTCCATCAAGGAAGAAATATCTTCAGACTATTGCCTAAAACACAGCATTAAACAATGAATTACATTCACTGGAGCTGAAGATTAAACCAAAGTTCGTGGCACCTAAAGTAAGACGAAGAAAGATACTGCAGTTCAGCAAAAGTGGCGAGGCAAAACAAGCAGCCCCAAATGCTCTCAAAAATAGGTAGCAACTGGATGCTATTTTTTGTATGCCAAAATATGACTTATTTCCAGCAAGCTGTCAAAAACCTCCCACAGCTGACCCTTTTTTTCCATTACTTTTCTATAAAACTATTTTTATTTTCTGTTTCTCAAAGAAAGAACTGAAGTTTAAAAAAAAAAATTCCTACAAAATGCTATCAGAAAAATAAATCTGCATTTCTTTACCAGATATGGAAAAATCATAATCTCACGGCTCAGGAGATGAAGACACAAAGCATTCATCAACATGAATCATATGGAGATAAACAGTATTTCAACATATCTGAACTTCCTGGGACTGTTAAAATGAGTAGCTGGCCAAGCAGCACGACCCAGTGTGCTGCACATCAGACTGCAACTGCTGGACCCAGGTTGTGATCAATCTCGGATGTCACTTCCCCGTGAGCAATGCTGATATAATATAATGCTGTGCAGTACTTGCCATAACTATACACTATTAGAAAATATGATAATATTTTTACAGCACTCAGAACAGACATTTTTCCCCTTTCTTCATGGAAGCATAGGAATATTTCAGCCTTTTTTAATAATTTGTTACTAAATATATAATAAAGTATATGTAATTTATATATGTACATTATAAAGAACACGGGTATATTCTTTTTCTTTTGCATTCTCTCATTAATTTTAGCAGGAAAAGGAGGTTATTCACTCATAAGTTGAACTATTCAAACCAATGAGAAATCCAATTAAAAAAAGAAGGCAAATTCCATGTACATACTTGACATCTTTGAAGGCACTCATCTGCAGCTTCAGGAGATCTGCCACTTCCTTTATTAACTCCAAGCCCTTTTCCACATTCAGGGGGCTGTTGAAAGGGAGCAAGAAAACAGAGCATTACAAAAATGGAACTCATCAATACTTGAGAGGCTAAAAGTCCCAAAAGAGTTATCACCTTGGCCTCTTCGAGTCTGCAAGCCACCACTAACTGTATTCCTGTCACATAGTGATCGTGATATCAAGGGAATTGGGATCAGGTGCTTCTTCAGGCATGATGAATCACCTGAATTTTCCAGCAATAAGACAAACAATAAGGTGTAAATGGAATTGTTAGGAAGTGTAATGGGCCCATGATGCAGCAACCAGTTCATCTCAGTCCCCAATAAAAAATGTAATAAAGTAAAAGGACGGAAAGAGAAAAAGGATTGACAAGACAAGGAGGGAAACAAACAATGAAAGTCAAATTGCAGGGCTCAATATCAAATGGACAAGGGAAAAGCATATTTTTAAATTCATTAGTTTCTAAAATGATTCTTTGCCCAATGAAAGGATACAAAATTATTATGGATTTGAGAGTAAACAATGGAGCAAGGCACCCAGTCCAGAGGACACTGATTAGATACACGGGAGTTAGTGTGGTGTGAGTATGCACTGCTGACAGAACCCACTTTCAATCTTTTTAACCTTTGTCAATGCCACATTTACATTTTTTTAATTTAGAAAACAGGTTGCAATCAAGCATAATACAGGAGGACTTCTATCATGTTAAAAAAAAGCACTTAGGTACAAAATTTATGTTTATAAAAATTGCAGATTATTAGAGTTGTTACAACCTAAAGACATAATGTGAACATTCATTGCCTAACAGATAATGCCTTAACTATTTTGCTGTGCTATCAAACCAAATGAAAAGTATTAATAAATTAAAAATATAAGGAAATGACAGGATGTCCAGTGAGAACAACAGATACAAAATTCTTCATGTACATTCTGATTGCAGAATTATTCTCAACATTGTTAAGACCCAAGCTCATAAAATTAAACCTTAAAAGCCATAAACTTTTCTAACTTATGCCACTGTAAGTCAGAAACAACTTTTATGAAACTAAACCTAGAAGGAAAAAAAAGGTTCTATTTTTTTTTTCCTTCAGGGGTTTACAACAAATAAGAGAAGGAAGTGTCAGAAAAAGTTACGTATTGTTGGACATGATCTTTGCAATGGGACTAAGGATAAAAAAGATTTTTCAGAATCCTGGACCTAGATCATTATTTCTGCATCACAGTTGAAGTTTGTGAATGTAATTCTGTATCACTGCAATCACTGTCATGATTTTATTCACTGTCTCCAATGAGCCCTGTGTTTATTTATTTATTTATTGCATTCAGTTCTGCATACGCTGCCCAAAGGCCACCTCAGTTTAAATAATGGGATATCTCATGTGGACCTTGGTTAGGATGGAATTGTTCAGCCTCTCTTTGTGCTACAAACATAAAATGCTCCAGAGGCCTCCTGTCACACAAGCAGAGGAAGCCCCTCCAGGCACCAGATAAATTTAGAGTTTTTCTGGATATACAACACAGAAATTGTCCTGTGTGAAAGTAATGAAAGAATCTGATTGTTTCTACAAGGGAAAAAATGTATTATAGATTAATCATAAAAACCTTATATTTCAATGACTGACAGTGGGTGGAAATGTGAAGATTCCCACCACTACAAAAGCAAATTGTCATAGTGACTTAGGGGCTTATGTGTTAATTAAACCTTTTCCCCCGAAGATGCTGGCTTAAATTTTACAGAAATGATTGGTGTCAGCAAGTGGGCTTTCCCTGTAATAGCAAGGATATGAAGAGGTGCAAGGAAGGCTGCTGCATGCACTGGTGTCATTTTTCTACCAAAGTGGGCTCATTTGTACAAGCTAACGTACCACTCCCCACTTACCCTTCTCCCTATTTAAAAACATTCTCCAAAGCCAAAAACAAGATATGCTGCTAAAGGCTGATGTAGTAGTAGTAGTAATGGGAGAACTAATCACAGCTTTTAAATGCCAGAATTCGAGAAGAAAGCCAACACCTTTGGGAGAAAAAGTGTTCCTGAAGCTCAATCATTTGCAGGTCTGGTTGTCTAGTAGTAGTTTCTGTGACTCTTGTGAACAGGAAATGAAAATATTCACAAACTCGCCTAGTTACTTGTGCAGATAAAAAATGGTAACTAAGCACAGTATGGAAAAGATGCAAAACCAATACCTGTATATTTTCAAAGGCCCTGGTGCTATCCATTAACCTCTTTGGTGCCAGGGCTACTATGGATCATGCTATCACCGCTGAGGTCTCTCTCACACTAAAAATGGTAACTTACAGCACAGTATTTTCAAAAGAATTTTCCCATGAATTCTCAGTATTAACAGATTCTAGTACTGTTACTTAGAGTTCTATAACACCTGTATTTGTAGGAGAGTTAAATGTTCAAAAACTTTCTCTAAAAATGCAAGATCATCCTCAAAACTGCATTTCTGCTTTGTAGCTTGTTCAGTGTTGCATGGTCCGCATTATACAACAATTGCTTTTACCTCGGGTTATGCTAATCCCAGTAACACGGTGTAACCGCTCCAGTTCTCTACAACTTAGAAAATAAATGAGAGCTAGAAAGTAGAAGAAATTAATGTATAGCTAACTTTCTTCCACTGCTTTACCCTCTAGTAATATCTGCAGGTGCCAGCATAAATATAATGTTTCAGCTAAGATTCTAACCTATACGGAACCAGCAGCAGAACCAGCAGCACTCAGTTGCCAATCTCTGTCTCATATAATTTGTAAGAAAGATGTACGTTGTTTGAAAGGCTAATGACAATGAAGATATAAATGGAGAAATTAAATATAAATGTTTCCTTTGGGGTTTATGTGGATATATTTAGGTTTTAAATCTGGCACAGCTTTTCATCTCCAAAATGTTTCACTGCTAATTTTATTCATTCTCTTTTAGCTGCACACAACTCTTGCACTAAACTAGTTATACCTGCTATGGCTTTATATTTCTGCTAATGATAGCAAGCATTATGTGGTACTATCCCTACAGATGAAATCAACTCCCCAGCTCAGGGCAAGACTGATTTAACATCATCACATAACTGTGAAAACTTTCCTATATGCTTTCACCATGTGAAAAAATAAGTGATTGAACACATAACTACTTGTCTGAGCTAAAAATATCATCATAATTTAATCAGCTCCCTGTAACTCCATCAGGAATTTTATCAAACAAAGAAAAGAAGACCTTGGCTGTAGAGCTATTTTATTTAGAAATGAATCTGAAGTGAAACTATGGGAATAAATATCCCTTAACTTTAATGTAAGCTCTTGGGCACTCCTGAAAACTAAGTAATCCATTTAAATGTTCAAGAGTGGATTGGGGGGCCCTAACTTTCTTCATATAATTGTTTGGTAAAACCTCTCCACAAATTGTACTGGACATAGAATACAGGAAAATTAGATTGCTTGGTGAAAATAATATTCTGTATCTTCCAATACCCAAATCCCTCCCAGTGAGGGAGCTGAAAACAAATACTGTTCAAGATCAATCCACTTACTGAGGTAATTCAAATAATAGACCATTGGATTATAAACTTCATCTCTTATTGTCTATTAAAAACTTCACCTTTGATTGCTCAATTTACTGGAAAAAGTATGGGGGTAAGGAGTGTTTCGACAATCTGGTTCCAAAAAGTTGGTACAATTTACATCACATTAAGTGATTTCCTTCTCAGGCACTGCTATAAAACACACAGAGTTGGCTAGCCAGATTTTAAGTGTTTACACAATCCCTTTGTCCTCAGTGGTCTTATAGTTAAGTGAGCGAATTGCTGCTGCTGATGTGTGAGGAATGATGAACAGAACACATCTTTATCTGAAGCAGCCCTACCAGGTGTCTTTGGCCAAGGGATCTTCTGACCTTGAATGTCACCATCTGTAAAATGAAGACAATGATAGCGACTTTCTTTGCTAGATGCCTAGTGTCTAACTAGGCTGGTATTATGTGACTTGTAACCCTTCTGGTTATAAGAATAAAGAGTAGCACTATTGGCAGTTCCTAAGGCTACAAATATTTCTCCCTAACAAGAATGGACATTGAATTAGCAAAGATCAAGTACTCTCAGAAAGAAAATGCATTTCAGGGACTAAAGTGTCCCTCCTTTGCCTACCAAAAACCATTCTGGTTTTAGGGTACAACAACAAGATTTTTCTTGGATCCAGGTGAAACTAACCTATCCTTCAATGGCAAGTTGGTAACTTTGACTGCTAGGGGAAGCAGAGAAGGAGGCAATATGCTGCACAGAAGAGTCTAATGAGCCAAAATTGCCTCATGCACTGCCCATTAGACCTTTCCAACAAAGGCTAGTGCCAGATATTGGATCCTGACCTCAAGACCAGTTCAGCTACATCCCATAATTATCTGAACACCACTGTGAATGGATGTCGTGTTCCCCCCAAATTCCTAAGTTTAAGTCTAATATCTGTTGAGTGCAAACACTTCGAATAATGGATTGTGTATTTTTGACCTGCATTCATGCATTCAAGGCTAGAAGCTTCCCTTCATCTGATTAAAGTACAAGAAGGAAGCATGTAAAAGGATGAACAGGAGGAGTCCTGTAGGAAGAAACACTGGCAGCAGGGCCAACTCTGCATGTTAACACAGTATGGAGCCCCGACTCTAATAAATGCCAGTGGACAATGTCAAAGGAAACAAGAGGAAAAACAGAAGTAAACTATGATAAAAACTATATGTTCTATATTTCCCAACATGCCTGTCAAAACAATCCCATAAACTGATCCATTTTCGTAGAGAAAAATCTGATCCAGTTACACAGATGGCTTGATTGCTAGCATTTGCCAAGCCTGCTCCTAGTCCAAGGAGAGCAACACATAGCTCGGTTATGTTGCGGTTATGCTGCGGTTATGTCAGTCTCACAAGCAGTTGCTCTCATTTGCTTTGCCTCTTCCCAGTTGCCATGTGTCTTCGGAAACCCACTTAACTGAATTCTGAAACTCCCCCTTACTGCCATCATTCCAATTATGCCTTGTCTTTACCAGGCT